ATGACCCAAAGCAACATTAAATCCACCTCTAAAATGCACCATTACAAGGATAATGGTTAAAATAACCCTAGAATTGCCTAAAAAATGTGCAAGCAAGTGATTACTGGACTACAAAATCTCTACTTACAAGTGTACCTATAATTATTCTGTCAGTAGATTTATTTCAAGCGCCCACAGAATTTCATTCTAGTGTATTCATTTAAGTGAATGTTGGGTTTCTTTTCATAAGATAACACAGCTGTGATCCTGGACTTTTTTCCCTCGATAGGGGTAACGCGATGCATTGAGTTATGCCCACAGATTATGACTAGTGTTCCTGGCTGAAGGTCAGCTTCTTTCACCCCAAGAGCAGACAGATCTTGTCCAGCTTTAGAAGCCAGTAGCACTTGCTTGACCAAGTCATAGTTTTCATTTCCATCTGATCTATTTGAAATAGAGAGATTATTTGTTATTTCAATTTTTATTTGCCTCCAACCAGAAAGAAATTCAGCTTAGCAACAATTAAATGGATCAACCCTTTAACTCTGAAGATCTGATTGTTTATTCTCCCCTCTAGCAGCTACACATTTCACTGGAAATAAGCTACAAGAATTTGTGTTCGATTTACAAAGCAACTTCTACTGATGGGGTATAGTCGTGATTCTCAATACTGCTGTGCTGGATAATGTATAGATAGTACATAGAGCTCGAGAAGTCAATCGTTGATCACCTGTACGAGGTAAAGGATGTAAAACTCCATCATTATAAGCCTCTGCTTTCATAGCAGGTGATTCGTTAACCGTAACTAAAAGAACCAATATGAAGACCAAATATACAAAACCAGCGAAAACCAGGGAGGGTCGCTTACCTGCTATGATTTCATGCATCCTCACTAAGTGAGATCCTTTATTTACGATAAATTGGACATTTTCTTCGCTAAACAAGAGCATAGACTAGCTTAGATAAGACAGGATGGCCTATCTGAATAGTCTTGTTTTCTTTCCCCGTGAGGCGCCTCTGAGACAACAGCTAACTAGCTTAGATAAGACAGGATGGCCTATTTGAATAGTCTTGTTTTCTTGCCCTGTGACGCGCCTCTAAGAAAACAGCTAACTCTTACCTTGTTAATGGAATGTATTGAAAACGTCCCCCACCCTCTGGTGCTTGAAGGAGGAATGTCACAGCGAACTGCCCCCGGTCAAAATGCCAATCCAGCTGATCATTTTCTCTGTAGACGTGCACATTTAAGTCTCCAAGGGGATCAGCCGTTCGGTAGAGCACGTCCCTGTCAAGAAGAACTCTAACGAACTCTGTCATCTCCGGTGACATATAAAGCTGAATTAGCGACGAGTTTGTCTTGATTTGGTCGCGGGTAACGCAACATTTTGAAGATCGACACAAAATGTTCCTCGCGTGATCATTCTCGAGGAGAGGATCTTGACATTCCTCAAGATAGACAGTGTGATCGATTGTTTTACAAAATGCATCTGGTAAGGCCTCTTCTGCTTCTAGGATTGTTTGGCGAATAACCCAAGGAAGCAGAAAGCCCGGCAAAAAGGCGATGCCGTTTCCCTTCAGTTCGCTTTTAGCACTGCTTATAATTTCCCGGAGAATGTGGCTCTCAAACTCAGCAATTGGATATCTTTGGTAGTCGATAATACTCTTAATATCACAGGCCATGGTTGAAGTGACGGTTTTGGCGGCCATCTTGGACGAGTAGGCAAGCACTTTGAAGGCCAGCCTGCTAAGCCCCACCCATTCTTTGTAATGCACCATTTAATGTAAACCCCCGCATACCCCCGGGACATAGCGGTGTTCTTTCTTTCTTGTGTTGAAGGCCCTGCCAGTCTCACCAAGTGTTTCAACACAAGAAAGAAAGAACACCTCAGAAATGTGAAAACCGCGGCAAAAGGCTCAAGAATTGCCAATCACGTCTGGGCCAATAGTCACGCAATAGACTTTGATAATGCATCTATTATTGACAAAGGCGGTTTCAGAACAAGAAAAATACTAGAAGCGTGGCATTCCAAGTTAACACCCAATGCGGACAACAATTCCTGTCCTTTGCCCGGACAATACAACATTCTTTTTAACAAACATTCTTAGTTATCAGCATTTTTAATTTTTACTTTGTACTTCACACCTAGTATATTTTTTACCTTTTTATCATTTTACCCGTTGAAGGCTGTAGCGCAAACAGCCGAAAGCTCGTATTTTTAAAAGTTTTAGCCAGAGATCGTTTTTTAAATTTCATAAGATGTTTTATCCTGGCTGCGGCCCCTCTATCTTTTCACGCTTTAAACTTTATTTGTCAAGTAACACACGTCATCGCATACAATGCTTTTCAAATGGTATAGTCTACTGTAAACATTTAAGAGAAATATTAAATTCTACATGCTACTAGAAGAGGGTTAACAGTTTTGTAGCACTATCACGAACAATACAAGACTTTAATTCAGACCTATCCGTGTATATACCTATTCATGTAAAACCTGTTTTTTTAAATAGGCATAAGAAGAGAATATAAACACCTGAGGACATGCTTGATCGGTCAAGTGATTCTTAGAATAAATTACGAGAAAAAACCGGGACAAAAGATTTTTGTTCACAAAAGAATCAATTATATTTATGTGTTCTTAGCGTTATTCAAGGACCTTAAGGACGGATGGCATACTCAACCAAAGATATAAGGTGATTAAGATAAAACGACTCTTACCTTCTTTTCATGGCCAAAAGCCGCTATCTTGCCGGACTAGCGATTCTTGACCCACTCCCCCGCTGTTCTTGGATGACGTGCAAAAGAGGTCAAAGTCTCCGATACCTGCGGCCCTTTCGCTCGTCTAACAACGGAAAACTCACATTTTGGGCTTTAGATTTCACGTGTAGTATCACGTTATTTTTGATGTAAACAAA